TTCTAAAAAACATTTTTCTTCATAACCAATTTTAACATGGTCACATCTAATAAGATCATTTTATCTAATAACAAATCCATATTCCTATTTCCCCAGTTATTTCCTAACCTTGACATTTAGTCTATCCAAATCAAGATCCAGTCTAGGGCTACACATTTTATGTAGTTGTTAAATTTCTTAAATCACTTTAAATGGAGGAAAGTCTTCCCCGTTTTTATGACCCTATCTAAGTACTGAGAGTGACACATTTAGAGTATCTGCCCTCTAGATTTTTGTGATTGTTTTGTTAAAATAGGTGTCACTAAGCTTGTTTCTTTGCCCTCAGTGTTCCCTGTTAAGTGGTAGTTACAACTAACAATTTGATTGATTCAAGTTGAAACAGTTTGGCTGGATTACATTTTAGGTGTCGTATAGTGGGTGGCACTGGGAGGTATTAACATCCAGCAGTTCATGGTGGATTCCTCTCTTTTGAGTTACGTTTTACCTCTTTTGATCAAGCAGCATGTGCGTAATTACTTTGATTCTAGAAGTATGTTCTGTACCCAGTCAGCCATTTCCCTGATGCTTTTGAAAAATAGCAATTGAAGATTCTTGTCTGTATCAATAATTTCATTCAGGGTTACAAAATGAAGTCTTTCAGATTTTATGATTTCTTCTACTTCTCATTTTATTGTCCTGAAGTACATGAAAGGCGGAATAAGAGTTTATTTCTTTCTCATTAATTTACCAACTTAACATTAGGAGCTTTATTATTAGCTGCTTTTATTGATGACATGTTAGGGAATCTTTTTTTTTTATGATTATCACTATAGCTTTAATGAATTTTTATAGCTGCTTTTATGTCTGGTTTATAGCGGTTAGCATAATGTTGTCTTCAAGTTTCATCCATTTGTAGAATGTCAGAATTTCGTTCCTTTTCAGGTGCTTTGTTGTTTTTGACGCTCAAATTACACCAACTTTGGCCCATGGATTCTACTTTTATTTTTTGCTCTTAGGTAAGTTCG